AAAACAACTGATTGCCATCTTCTTTGTAACAACCTTATGTATTAGAAGATTGTTATGAACCTCTCAGTCTTCTGATTTTCAGATATTAGATTTAAAAAAATCAACCACTATGTACACTCAACAAGTTCACTGAAAGCGTGTTCAGAAGATGTTTACTGCACAGAACAGATAGTGAAAAACAGATTTGTCATACATGGCATTTACTTCAAAAACAAACTTTAAAAATTGCCTCAATGCTGTGGTTATTTAGGCCATACATCAATTAGATTTTACCTATTAAGCACACATTTCCTAAAAATATTTGAATACCATTGTCACTTCTTTACATTTGTATCATTCTCACAACTAAATTCTAAAGGTAAGGATTCTGAAACAAACACCCCAACATTTTTTGGCTCATAAAATTCCAAACCCACGTTTGAAAATCAATGAAAAGCGAGTGTATGTTTGTAATCAGCTAAACTAGGCACCAATTCTTAATCCTGCAAATACTGCAGATTGCACAAAATTTGACTCATATAAAACATCTCAATAACTTTGGCAGGATCATTCTTGAATAAAATGTTATGGATTTATTGAAATGCTTGTAGGATTGAGAGCTTTAGGATATTCAAAAATGAAGTTTGATTTTTATGAGCTACAGTGCCCTAAACGTGAAACTTTAAGTATATTCTAAAACTTTGACAGATGATCAATTTGAAAGGAATTTGAAAGGATTTTAATATTGCCAAAGTGTACTTATAAAAAGTTTTATTTCACTCTGCCAGGAAAAAAAAACAAAGACCATTAAACTTAGGTATCCTTGAGCAAATACATGATTGTAAAAGTCAATAATTAAAGAGTATGGATGCAAAATATTCTCTGTCTGAAATACACGAGGGTATGGCATTTCTAACAGGAATCTGGCATTTTTGTTTTTAAGTGAAAAATTTTTGGTTAAAAAATTTCTGAGATAATGTATTTGTTTAACAACAGGGGCATCTAGTGGTAATAACTGATATAAATAAAACAAAGAAACACTATGGTTATGACATTAAGACGCCATCTACATATTACATTTATACCACCATTAATGTGTTACTTGTGACATAAATGGCAAGGGTGCTACACATGCACCCAATTTAAGGAGCCATAAAATGCCAAACCAACCATAAAAATATTCTACATATAACGTAGAACATTTTGCTGAATACAAAATGCAGACTGTTAAATGTAGAACATTTTTATGGCTGGATTGTATAGCACCTTAAATTGATTGAAGGTATGGCAGGGCTGGGTGTGAAAATCAGCTGATTGTTAGCCCCAGCACTACACTGGAGTCTATTTAAAATCCCAGTGCTGTCTTAGGGTCAAAGCCAACATCAGTTGATTGTCAGTCCCAGCCCTAGACTCAAGACTGCACCAGGGCCAGTTCAAGGCCCCCGTGAAGTCCTAGGGCTAGAGCTGACAATCAGCTGTTGTCACCCCTGGCCCTAGACCTGATCTTAGACATTTGTGGGGCAGGAGGAGCCTGAGCACATGATGAATTCTCCCCCTCCTCCTCCCCCACAACTGGCAAGTAGAAAGGAAGTGACTGGGATCTGATCCCCAATCCCAAAATCACACCTCCTGCCACACGTGTGGCTTGGCAGGAGGTGCAACCAATAGTTTGAGATCAGTGCTCAGATCCTATGGTGCCTTTAAACGAATGTGTGCCAGGCACCTAAATCTCAACCTTTATTCACTAACATGCATTAACTAACCATATGAATGATTACACAGTCTGGTGGGTGGCAAATTGACTAGAGGGTCATACCCAGAAAGTGGGTTGGTTGGTATCAACCTAGAAGGATGTGGGCAGTGGGGTCCACAGGGCTCAATCCTTGGACTGATATTCTTCAATGTCTTCATCAGTGATTTGGACGAGGGAGTGAAGTGTACTCTGTCCAAGTTTGCGGATGATACAAAACTGTGGGGAGAAGTGGACACACCGGAGGGCAGGGAACAACTACAGGCAGACCTGGACAGGTTAGACAAATGGGCAGAAATAATAGAATGTGATTTAACAAGGAGAAATCCAAAGTGCTGCACCTAGGGAGGAAAAATATCCAACACACACCTACTGCCTAGGAAATGACCTGCTCGGCAGCACGGAAGCAGAAAGGGATCTCGGAGTCCTAGTGGACTCCAAGAGGAACATGAGTCATCAGTGTGACAAAGTCATCAGCAAAGCTAACGGCACTTTATCATGCATCAGCAGATGCATGACAAACAAAACCAAGTGATACTTCCCCTCTGTCGGGCACTGGTCAGGCCGCAGTTGGAATACTGCATCCAGTTTTGGGCGCCACACTTCAAGAGGGATGTGGATAACCTGGAGAGGGTCCAGAGAAGGGCCACTCATATGGTTAAGGGCTTGCAGGCCAAGCCCTACGAAGAGAGACTAGGGCACCTGGACCTCTTCAGCCTCCGCAAGAGAAGGTTGAGAGGCAACCTCATGGCTGCCTATAAATTCATCATGGGGACGCAGAAGGGAATTGGTGAGGCTCTACTCACCAAGGCGCTCCTGGGGTTTACAAGAAATAATGGCCATAAGCTAGCAGACAGCAGATTTAGACTGGACATTAGGAAGAACTTCTTCACAGTTAGAGTGGCCAAAATCTGGAATGGGCTCCCAAGGGAGGTGGTGCTCTCCCCTAACCTGGGGCTCTTCAAGAGGAGGTTATATAGGCATCTGGCTGGGGCCATCAGAACCCAGCACTCTTTCCTGCCTATGCAGGGGGTTGGACTCGATCTATTGAGGTCCCTTCCGACCCTAACATCTACGAATCTATGAATCATATAACACTATTTAATGGTCAGCAGCTTCATGCTGTTTACCACTGAACTACAACTTGCCTCACTGGGCGCATCCAGATGAGCACGCTCTTGCTTCTTCCCTGTCTCAAACCCCTTTGAGGTGGGGCAGGAGGCACATGTGGGAATGAAAAAATGTTCCCCACACTGCAAGTTTGCAGCCCACGCTGCAAGCTTGCAGCACGGGGAGAAAATTAGATCTCTGGATATGGGGTCTAAAAAAACCACTATGTAGAAGAGCGGAGCAAGACACAGTCCCAGACCGTGCCAGGAGGTCAGTCCTCCAAAAGACACACTCAGCCAGAGCGTCTCTTTTGTTCTCCTGCTGCCTCGGCCACCGGCACTATCCAAGGTAAGTGTGTGTGGGGGGGTTCATGTGTGTGGATGGGTGAGGGGTGGCAGGGGATGTGAGGGGTTTGGGGAGTGGTAGGGGGGATGTCCCCAGGGCTGCTGGGGGTATGGACCCAGCCCAGCCCCATGCCTCCCGAAGCCCTGTGACCTGCTCTACTGCAAAGCCAGACTAGCGGACTGCATGGGGCTGGCCCAGATCCCACCGTGCACCATCCTACCCCCCACCCAAGGCACAGAAGGGCGGAGGAAGGACCCGGCACGGCATGCAAGGACCGCACGCTGCACCCAGCTGGGTCCTGCTGGCCCTAGGGACCCTCTGCCGCCCAGCTGAGCCGGACCCTTGGTGGCAGGACCCAGCGCAGCACGTGGGGACTGCATGCCAGGCCCAGCCAGGTCCTTCCACCCTTGGGGCCCCTCTGCTGCCCGGCCAGGCCATTCCCATGGTGGCAGGACCTGGTGCAGTGCATACAGACCATGTGCCACGCCCAGCCGGGTCCTGCTGCCATAGGCCCAGCCTGGGTGGGCAGCAGGAGCCGCCCCAGGGCCAGTAGGACCCGTCTGGGCATGGTGTGCAGTCCCCATGCACCGCAGTGGGTCCTGCCACCATGGGAATGGCCCAGCCGGGTGGCAGAGGGGCCCCAAGGAGGACCCGGCTGGGCCTGGCATGCAGTCCTCATATGCCGCACTAGGTCCTGCCACCATGGCCCGGCCCAGCTGGGCGGCAGAGGGTCCCTAGGGCCAGCAGGACCCAGCTGGGTGTGGCATGCAGTCTTTGAGTGCTGTGCCGGGTCCTTCCTCTGCCCTGCTGTGCCTGTGGGGAGGGGTGGTGCACGGCTGGGTGGAAGAGAGGCCCCAGGACCTGGCTGGACCCAGCACGCATTTCCTTCGTCCTGCTCCGGGTCCTGTCACCATGGCCCGGCCCGGCCCTGGCAGGCAGCAGATAGGCCCCAGGGCTGACATGACCCAGCTGGGCCCGGCGCATGGTCTCCGCGTGCCATGTCAGGTCCTGCTGCCATGGCTCAGAGCACCCCACTCCCACCGATGCTGCTGAAGGTAAGTTATGGGCCCTGGGCAGGGGGGCTGTGGCCCTCCAGGGGGAGCTGAGACTCTGGGCAGGGGGGCTTGGGCCCTGTGGGGAATAGGGTCTCTGGCCCTCCAGGGGGGAGCTGAAGCCCTGTGGGGGGGTATTCCATGTGCTGTGGGGGGGACTTCACCCTGTGGGAGCCAGGGGACCTACCCCTCCTGAGCAGCCCCCTGACAAAGTCCCCCACACCCACAGTCCCCCCAGCAGTCACCCCACACCTACTCACATGCCAACCCATATCCCTCCACACACATACACCTGCCTTCCCCCACATCCCTTCCCACCCCCTTCCTGCAAACACCACATCCCCCCATCACACACCCATCGTGCAAAGAAAACCAAAAGTACACGTCACCACATACAGGTTTTTAGAATTGATTTTATCATGATGATAGACACTGGTAGGCTTCCACATTGCTTTAACATTGTGTATATACCAGTAAAGCATTGCCCAACTGATCGCTGTCTCGCTCGCTCTCTCTCTCTCTATATATATGTGTGTGTGTGTGTAAAAACATTGGGGGTATTTTTAAAAATGGATTTGGGATGCTGCTGCAGCAGGTAGTGTCCCCAGGTACCAAGTGGCCAGGTCCCTGAAGCTTCTGAGAGTGAATAGCCCTGAGCTGCTTGCCAGGGCAACTTTTTGTAAGAATGGGGCCACGATAGGAAAGCTTTTTATACTGCTGGGGACAGCACAGGTGCTGGCCCCAGGCTCTAGCTCCCTCTGGCTGCAGATCTGGGAGGAGCCAGGCAGGGTTATTTTGCCCCAAGTGACACAATTTGCTCCACGACAAAGTGTCTGTCCAAGCACATGCACCAGGGCAAAAAGCCCTGGCCCAAATTTGCACTGCTTCTGTTTGAGCTGCTGCAAGCACGTGTGCTTGCATGTGTGGACGCACCCACTATAGGCAGTATCTAATGTCCTTCTGGAAATCTTAAGTTTTGTTACTTTGATGAAGACCTTCCGGTCACAGACCATCTGCTTTTAGTGCCTAACACAGTAGGACTTTGTCCTGTAGGTGCTGCTGCAATATAAACAACATCCAAAAAATCTTAAATGATGAGAATGTTAAGCTTGAAAAGTCAAGCACTCAAAAAGTTAGGAGATGCCCAAATTCCCAAATTAAATTTGTCCCTGTAGCATTAATTCAGCTCTCTTCTGTGTTTGCACTATGATGTAGTCTTTAATTATATGATCCCATGCTCTTTTTCCCTCTGGATTCCTGCTTCATTCAGTGCACAGCATGGAAAGTGCTTACTGGATAAGTAGTTATTTAATGTTTTATCTTTATCCTTATCATTGAATATGTGCCTCATGCATTATGTACATCATTTAAACCCTGCTCTGATTTGAGTATTTCTCTCATCGTGGACACTCACCAGTGCAATATCTGAGTGCTTCACAAACATGAGTGAATTTAATTTACAAAAACCCCCATGAGAGAATCTGCTATTATCCCTCATTGTACAGATAGAGAATGGAGGCACACAGAGATTAAGGACAAAATTGTCAAGTGGCCACTAAGTTGGGGAGAGGGGCAGCTTGTGATGCTTAGGGCAAATTATTTCTGAGTACTTAACATTTTATAGCACTGTTGAGTTCTAAGCACAGCTCCCATAGACACCACTTGCACACATGAGTACTCAACACTTCTGCAAATTTGACCTCAGATATCTCAATCTGGGAACCAAAGTAATGGAGAACACCTAATTCATGGCTATGTGTGGAATGTATGGTTCAAGAGGCATTCCCAACATCACACAGGTACTCTGTAGGAGAGGCAGGGTCATGATCCAGTTATTTAGGATACTTGGATGTCTCATTTACTAAATACCTTCCAACATCTGCAAATTAGGCAGTCTTTACAGACAAAACGCCTATTTACTACCATTTTAATATAGTCAAAACAGTACATTTTTTCCTAAAATTCATCCTTGGCAATAGTTGAACTGTTTTAGGTAAAACTTTCAAAAGAAAATTGGGCCTGACCTATAGACATTGAGCAAGGATAATTTCAGTTCAAATAGTTCAAGTATGTGAAAATTGAAAGCACCTGACAACTGGGTCTTAAAATGAAAGTTTTGCAACCTTATCTATAGGTACTACTATTGGCTCTGCCTGTAAAAATTATCCCTATTCCCCCCCCCCAGCAGATGTCCTTATGTAGTATGAAGACACTGGTTTCACTGTAACTCATCAATCCTCTTGCACCCATTTATCTTAGCCATATGGTCAGGCTTGAAGCTTGACTAGGATAAGGACGTCCATTACCTTAACTTCAAGGGATTTCCACCATTTGCACAATAAATGATTTATTTCCTACAAAACCCAACCTCTATAATAGAATTCTTCCAACCAAGACTGGACATCTGCATTTTGATACAACCATTCCAATATGACAAGTTACAACTCTGGCATTACTGAATAAGCTATACTTCTAATCCTGCCTGTGCCTATGGAGAAAAGGATCTTAGCCATTTCTTTATGAATGTCTTTCAGTGCCTGGCCCACCTTTGCCAATTACTGGGTACCTCTAATTAGAAACAGGATGTAACTTGCGGCTAGATATATTAGAGAAATGTTCCTAAATATAACATATACCTGTTGCTCTTCAAAATCAATCCCATTCCTGAATAGATCATTTATGATCAAAGCCTGCTGAAGACATAGAGCCGAGCCAATGACCACAGTTACTCATATCAAGCTGATTTGCTGTATACAGGTATATGGCAGAACAGTATTTTTTTACTTTGTATCAGTGAGCTGCAAGAAAAATTCGATTTTAACCCAACAAAACTTACTATCCAATTTCTTACAAAAGGTTATATCTGATTCATCATTCCAGCGGTTGATGACAATATCCTTGAAAACACACAACTTTAAATCTAGATAGTCAAGATTCAGGAAATAAGTTCAAGTCACCAGAATGAGTAAAATCATATTCAGTGTTGAAAAGCTAGATCATTTTCCATGATTCCCAGCTATCACCATTAGATGCAAGTCTCACTGCAAATGTTGAACAATTGTCATTACATAATACTCCAGGGTTAGTTACTGGACTGTATCTTATATATATCTATAACTATAGATATATAATCAATAAATATATATTTAATATGCTTATTTGTATACAAGTTATTGTAGTATCATCATATATGATACATACCTATACAGACTTCAGATAACAAATAAAAATGTTACCAAATATTTCCTTTTTCCCATATTTATATGAGAAGAAAATTATAAAAAATATATATTCTGTAGTATAACTTGACATGGGTGCCAATGTATTACAGTATGTAGATTAAATACATTTGTTGTATAATAATGTTATATAAAGAATGAGCTCATTAGCATTGTCTTGCATAAGTGATACATTATTCTCCATCCTTAGCCTTGAATCTTCACCTTTTTTGTTCCTCATGCTTGTCACCTATGTCTGTTGCCTAACAGGAAATGAGAGATGTTGCATAACCAAATAGTTGTTTATAATAAAGAGCGATACCCTGCAAGGATTCAAGTTGAGAGCATGGGGACCCTTGCATGATTTGGCTGTAGCTGCCAGCAGCAATCCCCTGTATTTATTCCTGTTTAGAACCTCCCGGTTCTAAGTCTTCTAAATCTGAAAATTCAAGCTCTGTGCTTCGTTTCAGGATTTTCTCAACTTTTGTCAGTCTCTTTTTCAGTTTCTGCTGTCCAGCATCATACTCAGCCAAAAGCCTTGCAAGTTTTGTTTGTAACCTGTCCACTGCCCCTTCCATAAATGTGACCTTCTCATCCACATCTTTTGGATCAGCTCCTAAATTTGCAATTTCTAAATCCAGTAGGCCATCCTTCATCAGGATTTGCTTACCCTTTTCTTCCAGCATGGCCTTTGCATCTGGGTACTCTGTTAAAGCCTCCATGAGGTCATCTTTAGAGAGACAAAACAAGTCCGAGTACCCAATGCTTTTAATGTTGGCTGTTCTTCGATTGCCAGCTTTGCTACCTTTGATATTAAGAATGCTAATCTCCCCAAAGTAGCTGCCATCACTAAGAACCACAAATTGTGTAATTCCATCATCAGCTACCACAGCAAGTTTGCCTTCTTTGATAATATACATTTCTCGTCCAATATCCCCCTTCCGGCAAATATAATCTCCAGGACTGTAGACTTGAGGCCGGAGTTTTAAGACTAATTCAACCAACAAGCCAGCTTCACAATCTGCAAAGATCCGGACTTTCTTCAATGTATCCAGATGAACATTGATTGCAATCTCTGCTCTTAATTTATCTGGTAGATACTTCAAAACTTCCCTTTCATCCACTGCTTTTTTATTCGTCCACAGGTAATCAAACCACTTGATAACTCTTTTTTCCATGTCTTTACTCACATTTCGAAAATGCATATACTGTTTAATGGCATCAATCCTTGCTTGAAACTCTGCTCTGGCTGCATTCATATTGGAAATCATTGAGCCAACATTACCAACAATAGTAGCAAAGATCAGTACTCCAACCAAGAAGTCAGCAACTACAAAAAAGTATTCAGAGTCCTTTACAGGAGGAGGTGTTTCACCAATAGTGGTCAATGTTAGTGTTGACCAGTAGAGGCTATATACATATTTTCTAATCAGGCGAGCAAATTCAGGATCAGAAGTGTCAGGATAGACCCAAGTGTCCGCCCCAAATCCAATTGCTTTGGAGATTGAGTAGTAGACACAAGCATTCCAGTGAATAATAATCACAATGTACATGACAAGATTAGAGATCCTGAATATATTTGGGTAGTTTGTCCTTGTTTCTGTTCGCTGAAAGAACTCAAACATACGACCTACTCTAAGCAATCTGTTTAGTCTTAACTCTGGGTAGTTCAGCCCTAACTTGAAGTACAGTAGATCAGTTGGTACGACTGAGAAGAAATCTAGTTTAAATTGTAAAGATGCCTTATATTTGTCTCTGAGTTTATTTTCTTCTCTCACCAACAAGCCTTGCTCCAGGTACCCTAAAATTAAATATAAAATCTTTATTATTATTATTATTATTATTATTATTATTACTACTACTACCATTTTATGGTCTATTCTATTTCATTCTATTATAGGTAAGTGCCAGATCCATCTTTAAAATTATTTAGTCCAGACAGCATCAGATGGTACATAAATTCCTTTTTTTTAATCAAGCTGCAAAAATTTGAACAGTTGTTGCCGGGGAGGGGTTTACATGAATTGACTGACTGTAAGTCCCTATATTTAATGTTTGGAAGCTGTTGGGACTAAGTCATAGACCTAAATGACTTGATTAAACAGAGCCATCCAAACTGCATGATCTGGCTGAGGTGTGTGGACTTATAAGCAGATGCAGAAGCCAGGAACCATTCCTCAGAGTGTCAGTATAGCTAGCACTTAATGTTCCCTGAACCCATCCTCTTCCTGCAGCCCTTCTGCCTAGTAACCTTACTTGTCCTCTTGAGTAAAAAAGAGGACAGATATGTGCTTCAGTTTCCAACTAGAAAGCCAGCTATAGGCACCCAGTTGTTAGAAAAATAATCTTGATCCTAATTTCTATAGAAAATAGAGGTAGATCCTTTATGTATAGCAACACTACCTCCACAGCACTTTTGTAGACCATTGCTGTAGAACATTCCCTGCTCACCAACTCCCATTCACAATGGATCAAACTCAGAAATTAGGCACTGAAGCTCCTGTGTGGGTTCAAACACAGAAATCTTGAGAGAGGTAGTGGGATATACTCTCAGAACAGATTCACTCCTTCATTTCCAGGTTGGGACAAGTAGAGTGGGCACAGGTAGCTGGGACATGTTTGAGAGTAACACTCTTAGCTTGTTTCAGGTCCTATACTAGTTAAGTCCTTAAATTAAGTGAGCATAGATTGCAGCTGCCTTATGCAGTTGGAAAGGTTTACCTGCCCCTTATTGTTTCATAAATTTGGTCCAGGTACAGTAATACCTCAGTTAAACAAATTCTCTAGGAACAAAGTTCCTTTATAACAAAGTTGGCCATTTTCTTCCAAAAAAATTGAAAAACTGAAAAAACCCCAAACCTGTGGCTTTCTCGTTTTACCAGGAAAAACTACAGATTTTGCAATGAGCTCCCTGCAGGCTGGCAGTTCCAGCCTGTAGGGAGCTGGGAGAGAGCGGGAGGAAGGTGGTAAGACAGGGGGCGCCACATGTATGTACAGAACATGCATGTGGCCCCAGGCAGCCTGCACAGCAGCTCCAGCAGGTAACTGGCGGGAAGAAAGGGATTGAGGCCCCTGTAGGCAGGGAGCAGGGCAGGACTGAGGCTGCTGTCCATCTGGGCAGGGCTTGGGGCAGCTGCAGGGCCCCAGCGGAGAGCAGGACAGGGCCATGGGTGGCTCATCCGCACACTGCCAGGGGACAGGAGGAACCTGTGCCCCCCAGATCTGTATGCAGGACAGGCATAGTCTGCGGGCTCAGGTTCCCGCTCGGCTTCCCTCCCCCAGGGCCTCCACAGTCCTGCGGGCACAAGCTGGTGCGGTTGGGGACAGTGGGCATGCGCAGGGATCTCCTCACCCCTGCAAGCTTCGCCCCGCCCCCACAACATGCTGCCCTGGCAACATGCCTCCTGCATGTGCTGCTGCTTTGAGGGGCACAACTCCGTGCTGTTGCCCTCACTGCAGCCCTGCACGGAGGGGGTGCATTGCCACGGTAGCACGGGGTGAGCAGCGGTGAGCAGCTTCTCCACATGGCTCAGCTGCTCCCTGCTGTGCCGGAGGCTGCGGAAGTCCCAGGGAGCTCACAGTAAGGAGCTTGCAGTGGTAAATAGGCCACTGTTCCCTGCTGCCACTCCATTCAGGCCCACTGTTCCCTGCTGCCCTGCTTCACTCCCCCCGGGGCCTCCACAGCCCAGCAGGTGCCACCCAATGTGGCAGGAACCAGTTGAGCCATGCAGAGAAGTTGCTCACCTCCCTGGTGACACACCTCCTCCACAGAGGCCTCCAGTGAGAGCAGTAGTGCGGGGCTGTACCCCTCAAAGCAGTGGCATGTGCAGGAGGCATGTTGCCAGGGCAGGGCAGAGCTCACAGTGGCGAGGAGATCCCTGCAGGGCCCCACTGCTCCCTGCCATGCTGGATTGTGCCCACCGGGCTGCGGAGGTCCTGGGAGAGGGAAGCAGGGTGGGAGCCAGAGCCCGCAGCCTGTGCCTGCCCCGCATACATATCTGGAGGTGCAAACCTCCTCCACCCCCCAGGAGTGTGCACGGTGATGGGGAGCCACCCAGGCCTCTAGCCCTGGTAGCTGGGTGCCCCTTCCAGCAGGACTATTGTTGGGGCAGAGTGAGAGGCACGAGCAGGGCCAGGGGACCTATGGGGGGCATTTAATTGAGTATTCTAATAAAAGCCTAAATCTGTCTGTCTGTCCATAACACTTTATTTGCAATCTGATTGGCTGACAAACAGCCAATCAGAGTGTGAAGAAGCATTCTGACAGAAGGCAGCCCACCATCATGATGGTGGGGACACAGGGGATGGAGAAGGGAGGGAGCAAGGCCAGCACAGATGGAAGTGGAGGGTGAGGCCCACAGGGCTGTCCCCCCGGGCTTGCTCCCTGCAGGTAACACAAGGCGAGGGGAGAATGGGCCCAGGCCCAACACAGAGAGGAGGGGAGCAGGCCTGCGTCCAATGTTGTGGGGAGGGGAGTGGGCCTGGGCCCAGTGCAGACAGGGAGTGGCCAACACAGGGAGGGAACGGGCCCAGGCCCAGGCCCAATGCAGGGGGGGGGGGAGTGGGTCCAGGCCTGAGCAGGGAAAAAGCCGGCCCACTGCAGCGGTCCATCCCCCACTGTGGAGGCCCTGGGGGATGGAAGGAGCAAGCCGCCTCCCCCCCTCAAGCCAGGGCCCATTTCTCCTCTACTCCCTCCCCCGTGTTGGCCTCTCCCCCACTTCTCCCATCCCTGAGTGGGCCCAACATGGGCGGGGGAGAAGCGGGCACGCTGTGGCATCAGCGGTGACCGTGGGGCCAGGGGAGGACTGGGCCTGGGCCTGACATGGGTGGGGAGTGAACCCGAGCTGGAGAAAAGTCGGCCTGCCGTGGCAGTTGAGGGGAGGGCAGCGGGCCTGGCCCAGCCTGGCCCAGCCCAACACGGTAGCTGTGGGGGCAGGAGAGGAGGAGCAAGACTCCTCCCCACGTCGGGCCTGGACCCACTCCCCTGCACTGGCCCTGAGCCCGCTCCGCCTGAACCCCCCTTTTCCCCCTCACCATGGCAGCCTGGCTTAAGCCCACCCTCAGGCCTGGTCATCCCCCACATCAGGCCTGGGTGTGTTCCTCCCTTCCCGTCACTGCTGCGGCAGGTCTGGACCCCAAGCAGCAAGAGGGAAGGGGGAGCGGGCCCAGACAGGGTGGGGGCCAGGGCTCCATCCCCGCCTGCTTCCTCTCTCCCATCATTCTTGATGGGAAGTTAGCTAGTTCTATATATATAGAAGCCTTAGTCTGTCTATCTATCTGTAATACTTTATTTGCACTCTGATTTGTTGTCTGAAACAACCAGTCAGACTGCTCCAAGAGCATTCTGGACAGGAGGCAGTGGGGGCAGCTCACTGCCATGATGGTGGCGACAGAGTGGACAGAGCAGGAGGGTGAGGCCAGCAGCACTGGCCTGGCTCCCCCAGGCCTGCGTCTTGGAGACAGCTGTAGCATGCGGT